GTATAACAAATCCCATCCCTGCTGGGTGCCGGAAAAATGCCAGGAGCACAAGTAGTCTAAAAACTGTATCCAAACTTGAATACTACCGAGGGATAGAATCAGACTATTTCTTCCATCTTAACCGTCTTTTCAATTGCAGCACACGCCGCCACGTTCCATTAAACAGTGGTCGTGAGGGCAGCACATGTAAACTGCAAGTAAATATATAATGTACAGTCAGACGGAATAAGAACTGGAAAGTTTTTCTAGCTTTCTATTGCATTCGTGAAACATTGTTTGCCGACAAAAATAATGTCAGTTTAATTGGAGTTAATAACTGGAAACCAATTCAACATCCCTATGTATACCTCAGGTGTTATTTTCATTCGCATATGTTTAATTTGCATATTTATATGAAATTTCGCCAAAATTCCATTTGCAGTAAATGTTAAATTTGTTGACTGTTCCACCATTCTATAATACATTACTTTTCTTATCTTAAAAAATAGAATCGAGATGTAAATCATCCAGAATATACCAGATTACAACCTGAATTGACCTGTTCAATAGTATCCAGTTTTTGACCATGATCGTGACTGTCACACCATTGTAAGTAATTTAGGTAAGATAACTATGACAACTTGATTACATTTCTGGTACCTCCTTTCCAAAAATAATTGATGGCATATATTAGAAAATTAGAATATGTGTGTTGCCATTACTGGAATGTTTCCATAAATTTAGTCGGCAATGTTAACCGTGCAAATCTGGCGCAAAACACAAATTTGTGATTTGTCTTACACAGATAAATGTACTGAAAGTGAAGTGTCATATAGAAATATGGGAATATATGTATACAGATAATATTATTAATTTGCATATTTAAAATTTACATACAGTGTATTTATTTACTGTGGGGATTATTTCTCTATATATGTGGTTTCCTTTCACGCAATCAAAACAAATAAATCCATAGAGGCTCAACTTCAGGGATATATTGTCTTTGATGCGTATTTCCAATACGTAACCATGCATATGATTAACGGAAAAGATACAGAGAGAAAAATTACTTTATAGTATTTAAATAAAAACACAAAAATAAATATTCAAACATGAGCATATCAATTTCACAAAGAAAGCATAAATGTGGTAGTACGCTCAATGTATACATATCAGATACAGACTGCAGTGGCATGATAAGGAACAATGTCTCACCGAGAGACTAACATCTACATATACTGGTGGCATATATTACCATGAACTTCAGATTTACAACGTGTTCTATTTTACACGCGACCTGTTCATTCTAGAAAACAATGGCTGACTGTAAAAGCTCAGGTCAAACGAACGTAACTTGTAAACCGCCAAAGAGGGCGCCATGTTGCAAACCTACTGTGGGAAATTTGGCCTCAACAATACAAATGAGGTTCAGGATCTGTGGATAAGACGCTTCATGTATACAAACAATGTATTTTACACGCGGCGTGTACACGTCGTTATGAGTCCCATATCGAACAGGACGCGGCGCGACGACCACCGCAATTTTAAGCTGCCACATCGACAACAAACATTGGTACAAATTAA